GAGGTATAAAATCTCGCACATGGGAGTATTGTCTGAGACGGATGTTCTTCCAAAGAAAGAGGTTTTTGACTGTCTTTTTGGGTTTGTAACATCTTGATGCCGTAGAGGTCAAGTCATCAGTGGTGATGCCTATGCAATTTTTGAATGTAAACAAATAAATATTCTTGTGTTATGCATTCGGAATCCTGTTAAGTAGTCACAGCTAAATCGTTTAGGGGGGGAATGAAAAACTCGCGTTTGGTTGCTTAACTTATGAAAGCATAGGACATGGAATGGAAGGAACTGGAATTTTCATCATGCAACCGACTTCCTCAGTTGTTCAGTCTTCACCTTCGTTCTAGACATGATACCCTCGAAGAAAGATCCTTGTTTACGTGTCAAAAAGTGATAAAAACTCTCTTTCACGAGTTAACCCCTTTAGGTGGGGAAGAAGCCATATATCCAACAACCTTCGAGGTGGGACGCCAACCTCAAACCTTATCATCCCTTTTTTTTTCCCCACACCCACACGAAGCAAAACAAAAAAAACTCCCATCACTATAAGTAATACACAGGGTATATCAACTCCTTTAAAAGACACACTTTCCTCGAAAAATTCATCGTCCCACCCATCTATTCTCCTTCCCCTTTATAAACCCCTAAAGCGTCTTATAAACCTTCCTCCTCTTCCCCCCCTTCCACCAAACCCTCCCCCTCGCCACTCCTTTCGCAATCCTATGAAAAACCCACCTCTCCCCAATCTTCCCCGTGAGCGCTGCGAGAACCCCCAGTGCGAGAACCACCCCCCTGAACCCAACCCCAAGGTACGTCAAATCCATCAGCCTGATCAACCACGGCGCGGGATCGAAAAGCAGATATGTAGTAACCGCAAACGCAGTAAGCAGACTTACCACGAATGGCAGATTCGCCGCAGGCGATTCTCTGAATGGCTTGCCGACGGACAGAACAGCCGCGAAGAGTATGTATTGGTAGCAAGAGAGTAGAAAGAGGGTTGTGTTTTCCGAGTTGAGAATGTTACTTTCCCCTTTGGACGGAACAGGAGGGATGTACCACTTTTGGTGTTTGACGAGAATGTACCCTACCGCTTGCGTGGTCGCACATATTGTGATGTGGCCTAGGAGCGGGACTAAGACTTTTGGCGAGACGAGGCGCGCGATGGGACGCTTCGCGGAGAGGTTTTTTGCGGGTCCGGTCCAGCCCATGAATATTGCTATGGGAAGGATTAGGAGGAGGTCAATGTAGAGGTACTGGAAGTCGCCAAGGTTGGAGGCGGAGGCGTAGAGGAAGCTTACGCTTGTGAATTGGATGGCGGAGTAGAGGGACATGTATTTGAAACAGGAGAAGGATGTGACGAGTGCGGCGCGGCCTTCGCGGATGATGCAAGGTACGCAGGAGATGTCGAAGATGCGGGATGTGAAGGGCGCGGCCACTGAGGCTTCGGCTTCAGAGAGGGAGACGCCGACGTCGGCGGCTTTGAGGGCCCCGCAATCGTTGGCACCGTCGCCGCAGAAGCCAGTGGTGTAGTCGATTTTTTGGAGGGTTTCGACGAGTTCGCATTTTTCATCGGGAGACATTCGGGCGAAGACTTGGCCGTGGCGGAGAAGTTGGTTCAGCAGTCTTGGGGAGGCGTAGTCGATTACCCACCGGAAGACTTCGCCAGTGCAGGCGATGGAGTAGTTGTGGAGGTTGGAGAGATCATATGGGAGAGAACTGTCGTGGTCGGCGGGGGGTGGGAGAGGTTTCAGCGTGTTTTCGTCGAGTTTGTAGGCGGAGTTGTCGACGCTTTGCCAGACTAGTTGGGCAAGAGGAGTGCGGGCATCGCCTTCGATGAAGTGAGGGGCGAAGCAGTGGCCGGTTTTGTCAATCATACTGCATTCCCTCGCTACACTGATGGCGGTCAGAATATTGTCCCCGGTACACATGACTGTGCGGATATTGGCATCGTTCAGCTCCTCAATAATCTCCGTCGAGCGTTCTTTCAGTTTGTTTTCGAAAATGATGAAGCCGACAAACTCGAGACTCGACTCTGCCTCTTCCCGTGTCATCTTCTGCAGCTTCAGCCAGTTGAGCCGGAAGATGTGCTTCGTTGCACAGGCAATGACGCGGAATCCACGGTGCGTGTAGTAGGCCAAGAGCTCGTCATAGTCTGAAGGGAAGCTGTCTGGTTTGCAAATGCCCTTCATTGCTTCTGGAGCACCTTTGACAAATACATCGCCGCTGCCCTCACCCAGCTTGCGGACAACCACACTAGCACGTCGCAAATTAGACACAAATTCGAACACCTTGAGCACACCCAGCTCAATGGGCCGTCTAGATTGAGCTTCATCAATGTCTAACTCCATGCCCGGCGGTGGACGGGCAATTGATGGAGACAGCGTGCTCTCCTCGTCCTCTTCCTCACCCGCAGGACGGCCTGATCCTTCTTCAAACTGCCAGCCAGTAAACTGAAACATCTTCAGATCTAGCGGGTCACCAACAAGCTCTCCGTCGATGTCCCGTAGCGAATGACAGGTGGCCATGGTGTGCAATATAGCCTTATTGGCAAGATAATCAATCGTCGGATCCCGCTCATATTGTCCACCAGGAAGCAGGGACATGGCATGGGAGAGCAGACCAGTGAACCGATTCGCAGGCCGCGAGACGACCCTGACGCCCAAGACATCGAGACCATCCTCAGTCAAGGTACCCGTCTTGTCAAAGCACATAATGTCCAACTTGCCACCAACATTGACCCTCTGCGGGCTGATACAGAAGATTGACTTGGATTTCAGCCGTTGAAGGGCAAAGTTGGTGCCGATGGTGAGCGTTGCGGGCAGAGCAGGCGGCACAACAATGGTGATCAGATCCAACGCACGTACAATGATCAAATGCCACTCCAGTCCCAAGCGGATGAAGTTGATAAACGAGGCCACGAAGCCAATGCTGGCAATGAAAGCCATGAATGCAATGTACCGGAACGAGTCTCGGTAGAATTTGAACCCCGAGGGCTTGGGGAAGAGCATGGACCGTACGAGAGCGCCTTTGGTCGTGTTAAAACCCGTTCGGACAACGAGAGCCACGGCAGCTCCCTCGTCGCTCTTGTCTTCTTCCGGCCGTCTCGCACGGACAAGACTGGTGCCGCTGAAAAGCATGTGTTTGGCCACTTCTGGGTGCATCGAGGAGGCGCTTGGGTTGAGCAGCTCCAACGATTCGTCGTTTGCCGGTGTTTTGGACACGGGAACAGACTCGCCCGTGAGCATGCTCTCGTTGACTATGCAGTCGCCAGACAGCAGTAGACTATCACAGGGGAATTGGTGAAGATAAGGGTCAGTCACCTCGTAGATATCTCCTGGTACGAGTTCTCCAGAGTCAATGTACCGCCAGAAACCACCACGCAAGACTCGGATATCACACGAGAAGCGTGATATTTCTTTGAGACGCTTGATAGTCGACTTGGTCTCGATCAAAGTGGTGGTTATGCTGATTACCGAGATGATGAAGATGCAGGCCGCATAGTAGTAGTACGAGTCCAGGGACCAGAGGACCAAACTGGCAACCTGAAACACATAAAATGGATGGAAAACCTCCTCCACAAGCAACTGGAGCGTCGTCTTCTGCTCAATATCAATCATGTTGGGGCCAAAAACCTGCTCTCGGTGTTCGTAATCGTCTACATCGAGGCCATCCTTGACATTCTCAACCCGCGTCCATGAGGGATCCTTCCACGTATTTCCCTGAACGAACCTATCCCGAAGCGGATGGTAACAGAATCGAATGTATCGATAATCCAGAATCCGCAGTTCATCCATAATAGGATCATCAAAATCCGAGAAACCCGACAGTTTTGACTTCTCCCCATGCCCAAATACAGCCGACATGGACCGTCCAAACTCTCCCACATCAACCTCCTTCACCATCATCTCATTCCACTGATTCTCAATCACAACCCAATCACACGACCTCAACGACGTGCTTTTGGCCACTACCCGCACATACCATTTCGGAAACCACCTCAAAACCAGATACCCAATCCCTCCCGTCAACATGCAGATGCAAACATACAGCATCAGCCCGCTTACCGTCGTCCTAAAACCCGCAATCACTATCGTCAAATCCTCCGCGAGGATGTACATCTTCTGACTATGTCTCCCGTCGGGGTGATGCACACTCGCAGCTGACCCTTCACTCCGATGTCTCTTCAACAGCGGCACCTCGACCGACGTCCTCGACCGCCTCGAAGAATCCGACAACCTCCTCCTTCCCACCACATCCTCACTTTCATCACCCGGCAAATCAAACCCATCCTCAAAAATATCATCAACCTCCAACTCCCCTCTCTCCAACCAATCCTCCTCATCAACAATCGCCTCCTCAACCCCATCCCTCTCAAAATCACCCTCCTCATCCTCATCATAGTACGCGAAGCTGGTACTAGAGTCCGCGCGCGGCCTCCGATGAGAAAACAACGACGTCGAGACAGGCACACTCTCGCTCATCGGACCAGCGTACATTTCTTCTTGCGCCATGTCGACGTCGGCGATGAAGCTTGCCCTGACAACAACCATGTCAAACCTTCCAACAAGGAAAATAAAAAATCACTTACTCGCTCCTATTCGACCCGCGACGGTACATTTCCGTCCGGCGCCGTTTCCACTCTTCCCCGTCCATGGCTGGCGCGAAATGTTGTCGGGGAGTTTTCTTTTGGACGCACGGACGTACAGCGTCGGGTGGGGATGGGGGGTGGCCGTTAGCCGTCACGGTCAGCCGGGTCACGGCGACCTTGTGACAGCTGACGGTTTCCTGTGCAATGGACAAGATGGCGCTCGTGCAGGATTAGGTTTGGTAGTTTCGGGAGGGCGGGCGGGATCAGATCCGCGGCACAGCGTGTCGCTCAACTCTGCTTCGGAAAGTTATGTTGTGAAGGGACTTTGCTTGTGCTGTCACGATCTCTGGCATGGACAGCTACGACGACATTGACATGCAGTATATTGAATATTTTTTCTCCCCCCAATGACATACATCTCCCCTTAGCTCAGCTGGCAGAGCGCAAGACTGTAATGGAAAAGCGTTCATCTTGAGGTCCCTGGTTCGAACCCGGGAGGAGAGAGTCTTTTTTTCTGCCTTATCATTATAGCAACACATCCTATTCTTGCTTCCCATACATCCCAGTCAACGATCTAAGCACTTAGAACGATGTCATTACCACGAGCTCTATCAGCTCGGGACAGACATGCCAAAGCCCTTCGCAACGACCTCCTCAGCTCCCTGTACCTGCGAATCGCGGCCGGACTGGCTTTTTCGGGGTCCTCTGGGATTTTGAGACCTAGTCGTTTAGTGGGTGATGGCTTGGGGGTAGGGGAAGGTACTCTAGCTGGGACGGTGGCTTTGCTTTTGGAGGTATTGGGGCCTCTTTCTGATTCGAGAGGGGATGCCCTAGGCCTTTAAGAGGCGGTGGTTTGAGGTTGATGGGTGGGGGTTGGGGTGGGGGCCTTTGAGTTGAGGGTGAGAAGAGTAGAGTGGGTTACTGAAGTGGAAACTCTGTCTTCTGACAATGGGAGGGAAGGGAGGGTGGGGTGGCTATATAGGTATTGAGAATAGGACATCTTGAGGGGAACAGATGACCTCAGATGCAAGGTGAGAATCTACTGTTGTGCATTGGGGTTAAATGCAGACCCGATTACAGGCAACGGGTGCTTTGATTCGGGTTATGTTATGGAGAGCATGTATGACTTCTGGGTGATGATATTCTTCCTGGAGTTGTAGCATGGACATCAGGGTGGCCAAGATGTCAGGATGTCAGAATATCGTTAGGTCGGGAGGCATAGGTAGGTGACAAAAGCATGTATGTAGAATGTACGTAGGGTGGCAGGGATGATAAGTTAGCTAGAATAAAAAGTGTACATGGGGCTATTGGCAGGATTTTTAGCATATAGAGATAGCAGATATACCAAGCTCGAATGAATCAATACAGCAAAAATTGTCTGAATAAGGTCGTTCAAAGAAAAGAGTAATGAATGCAATCTTAAGTAATTCCATTACAACCCCTAACACTGCAATAAATCTGCACCCCCAGACCACACCCCTTCGCTGCCAGCATAACCCGTAACATTTCCAGAGTCCTCCTGAAAGACCAGGACCGGCATCGCCGAGCCGTCCGTATAATTCTTTACAAATGCGGCCCCGAGCCTCGTACCGGCAATGCCCGGTGTTTGCGAAATGATATTCGGATCGTCTGACGGAACCGTCTGATCACACGCGCCACCAAACGAAAGGTTCCTCTGCAGGATCCTATTCTTATCGTCTTGGGTATAGAAGAGTGTGGCCTGGTTGCGTAGAAAAGTCTCATGGGGGGATATCTTGGAATCTACCTCGCAGAGAAGCTCCGAGTTGGGATTCATATTTTTGTAATCCCTATCCCAGATTTGGATTGTCGAGTTTTGGGTAAAAAACATTACTTCCATGGGTTTGTCGTTGTCGCGTTGGTAGCATCCTATGGCGTTGTCGATGTCGATGTTGGAGATGGATGAACGATACATCCACGTCGAATTTTGGTAGAGCCACTCGTCCAGAGATGTTGAGTTTGTGCTAAAGTAGAGTAGCATGCCTTCGGCGCTCAAGGCCGTATTGGACGAGGAAACAAAGTAGACGAATGGGCAGGCGCGTAGGGCGCGGCCATTGGATACTCCTGTTGGAGGGGATCCCGGACTGATAGATCTGTCAATTGGTGTGTTTGTTTCGAAGACTAGCTCGCGGATGTAGGAGTCATAGTCCATATCTCACCGAAGTTAGACGGGGATTGCTCCGCACAGATTGAAAGACACTTACAGAAGAGGTGAATGCCAAGGCCGTCGATCACGGCATGCAGATTGGTGCGTGGTTTGGCCGAGATTACAATGGGGAGGTCTTTCGGGGCCCACGTCCCATTCAACAGCAGCCGAAGCTGTCGGATGGAGCCGTTGGGTTCCTGATAGTAGAGTCGCGCAACATCGTCTTTGGTCGGCCATTCGCTGTCGGACGATGCTCGCGAAATCAATGTAAGGCCTGTTCCGCTTATGGCTTGTTCAAGCGTTTTGATGTTTGCCTTGGGTTTGCAGTTCACCGCCGCAAAGAGGGATGTAGGTGTGGCTGGGGCCGAAGTCCTGGTCGTCGATGATCGAGCAGAACTTGGGCTTGATGTTGTCCTAGACGGTGATGAGGGTCTTCATTGATCAGTAGTTGTTCGTACTGAAGAAGCAAAGACTCACGACTTGTTGTGTTTAAGTCCCAAGCCTACCCCGAGCCCGACTCCAAGGCCTACAACAATGGCCAGTAATAAAAGCAGAATCAGGCCAAAACAAAGCTTCGACATGCCGCAAGTTCTGCCATTATTACGCCTTGATGATGACTTCTCTGAATATGGCTTAATGGTCCCATCTTCAGATTGAAAGGGCACCGAGGACACTGGCGTTGGAGTCCCATTTTGCCAATTTTCGTACGGGATCGGCAGAACCCTTGAGTCTCTTGGCCGCCCAGGAATCGGATACGACGTGTCTGGGTATGATACTGGTGACTCTAAACATTCTGGAGCCGAAGCCGCTGGGTCGCATTCCAGTCCATCTGGACACTTTTTCTCCAGCAGGTTGTCCTGCGGATGGTGGTTACGACTATGCCTAGTTAGCTTGCAACAAGTTGGACACTAAGCTCGACCTACTTTTCGGTGAATCTCGATCTCAGCCAACTCCCCATGGTTCAATGAGTGTTAGAAAGTGTCTTGCCAACTTTTATGTTTCGGTTCCAAATTAAAGGATCCGTCTTTCCGCAGCCTTGTTGCATCTCACACGTGAACTTCTAGGTTGTTGAATGGATGGCTGTGCAAGCTTTGGTTGCACAAACTTCCTTCGGAAGTCATACCGTTCAAGGTCCTTCGATAATTGTAAGAAATCTCCATTGAACTAGCACGTTTGGACTCTTCAAGCATAGGAAAATCCAAGAGCGAACCCTGTCCTTCATTCAAAGTCTGCTTCAACGATGTCGCTAAACGATAAGTGTGGCTTGACGCCACGGCCGAAGGATTTATCCTAAGCGAGCCCCGGGATAATGTAAAGGATTCGAGTAGGAGATTTTCTGCAACCATTGGCTGTCGTTGGGCTCCTTTTAAAGTTAATCAATCCTTGGTTGGACGCGTTTCCTGGGATTTATCGGGGACTTGCGCCCAGCAAAACACCTGCACTGCCAGACTGTCGACAGAGTAGAATGTATGTAGATGGTGAAAGGTTTGGCACTCTATTCTTAGTAGCAGCCCTTGCATATATTGCATATGTGCAAACATCGATGCATCATCCCGCAGGAACGAACACCAGTTCCCAATGTTACGCTATAACGTTGAGAAACTGGGGTGCATTCTCGTCAGGCAGGTTAGCACAGCCTTGGCACATCCACACAGAACCAACTTCTGCCCATCCTATATCGAAAGATCACGCCTGCTCCGCCCAACTAACCCACCTCCTCACACATTCGTCCACCTCTTTAACACCCCTCTTCGACGCCTCAACTTCGAACCACTCCCTGTGCTCTTTCCCACACGCATCACATGTGGTCAGAACCCTCTTCTCTGCCAACTCCAAATGCACTAACCTCTCTACCCTTTTAACATGCCTGACTTTTCCCACCTGCAAGCCAGCTGTTGAAGCGTAATAAGGATACCACCTGACCAAGTTGAGCGTATATCCGCATTGACGCTCCCACTCGTTCATGCGTCGAGTGACGTTGTTTGCTCGTCCGATTTTAAGTTTTATGCTATGCGATGGCTTGCCCCGGGTGGAAGAGGTGGAGAACTCGGAGAGGACGTCGCTGATGCGGCGTTCTCTGGGCCCGGCACCTTTGGCTGGAGAAAGGAGCGAGCGAGAGGTCTCGTCTCCCGGCGCAGGTTGTGATTGGGGTGTCAGCCAGAAGATGTAAATGTAGCCTTCTTCGTCGTTGGCGGGAAAGGGTTTGACGAGCTCGTTGAGGATGGACGAGGTGGTGGTTATGGAGAGATTGGGTGGAATCAGTGAGAGTATTTTCTGGTTATCTGATGGTGGCTTGGAAGTGTTCTCTGGGTGTGGTTGGGGTCTGACTGCACTACTGGGTTTGGCAGCACTGCTAGGTCTGGCGCCATTGCCAGGTCTTTGCTGCTGAACTCGATGCTCGTGTCTGACAATTTCAAGGTAATCGTCATCACTGTGCTCCGTAATGCAGCACAGGCTTGCCCAAAAACTCGGCTTCTTTTTCCTTTGCTCTTTTCTTCGGCTAGATAAAGGTGATTGCCGCGGATCCTCCTCGACCATTGGGGGGTTTGACGGCTTAGCATTGGATCTCTCCTCAATGTTAAGCCTTTCCATCAAAGTGTCAATAGAAGTCCTCTGTTTTAGAGGGAGGATCGGAGCCTGAGCTGGGAGTTGAGCCCGAGCCTGGTCCTTGTGCTGCCAGCAGTAGAAGTCTGCATTTCCTTTGGAAGAAAGAGCCGCAACGCCGCCGGCTCCGCCCTTCAAGATCCTGCCTGAATCTACTGCCAGAGCTCTTCTGCATGGCCTTCCAGATGTTGTAATGCCTTTGCAAGTTGTGTCGGGGTTTTTGGAATCGTTTCTACCCAAAAGAGCTTCGGGGGTGATGCTTGGATGGAAGCGGGACATGGAAGCAGATGATGGGAGAAATTGATAGGACATTTTTACAGAAGACCTACGAGGGCAACGCCTACTTATTACCTGCCGACGTTGAGGGGCGTCAACGTCGAGTGACTGATCTGCGTGATCGTGGCTGGGAGTGGCTTGCCTGAATATTTTTAATTTGGGGTATTTGCCGTACGACATCGTAACACAAACAGTCTAGCCCGTTTCGCGGAACAAATGTGCCGTAATTTCATTGATCCATCCGTCATCCAGCGGAAACTCTCTCCCCCCGTTGGGCTGTAGACCAATGAATTCGAATGAGTCTACGACTTGTGGAACGCTGAAACCCATGGCCACGAACCTGTCCGTCATGGCTTTGTTATATCCGCGATACGCGTCGTGGGATGCCCTGGGCTGGGAGTGAGACGGAGCCGTGGAACTTTTGGACGCTGATACGTTTCGGGAAGACCCTGCCATAGAT